CCCGCTTTTCTAAATATCTCCTTTGTGTGTGAAATAGAAGTAACATTCTTACCGGCGTATCCCACATAAAATATCTCTTTAATCATGTGACACCTTCATTTCCCTAGTTTTTTTCAAAAGTCAAATTATTGGTAATTACAATCAGTTTTTGATTCTAATATTTAGAATAGAACATTTTTTTAGTATGTAACCAGTATGTTTTGGATTCCCGTATAAGACTTAAATATGACTTCGTTATTCTAAGTTGATTCTTAAGTGGTTATGCTAAATAAAGATAGTATTAAGAAGATAAATAATAACTGACAAAAGATACTTGATAATTTTCGTTCATCTCACGGTTTTGTTTTTGTCATTTGTATCAGCTTTCCCGCAGTAACATATCGAGATGTGTACTTACCGTTATTTGTATTCGCATTACGAACTAGTGGGTATTATTCGAAGATAAGTTTGGTATTTATTATTATTTTATCATTGTTATTAGTAGTGTATTGCTCATTATTCCATCTTTTGGTGAATTGTCCTTTCCTTCATTTCCTGTGGAGTCCGTTGATTATATATAGATTGCTAATTAGTTTTCGTAATTCACTTCTCACTTTAGTTTGATCAATCCGTACATGTTGCAGTGAAAAATCACATTTTTATGGGTGGTTCATAGTTACAATATTTTATTCACGTTCAGAGTAATAAACTTATATTGTTGATGCAACCTGTAAATTTCTTATAATAATCACATATCCCATAAAACTCATGGGTAAACGTAAAGTTGATGGCTTTTATGTATATAGATATTTGAGCCTCGTATGTTCAAGATAATTAAAACACCAAATACGAAACTATTTATATTTACTTCATTGATCTACCAACATCTTCATATAGTCTAAGTCCCTAAATGATTGGTAGTTCTTCATTTGTATGTAATGATGTATCTTTTAAGAAATCAGTGAAATAAAATCGATTCATTTTATTCACATATTGTTACTTTCGACCAAGTCGACTTAGGCAACTAAATGTACTACTACTACTACCTACTACATATTAAGTAACTGTTTGGTTGTATTCAGAAAATTGAGTCTGTATGTGCACAAAAACCCTGCTATAATATTTATTATTTAACGTTACTAGAGAATCGCTTATGAATTCATGTATAATCAACGGTAAATGTGATGTGATTCAATAAATCAAATCATCTAATGACTGAATTACATTTAGATTTTAAAAAATTTCAATTAAATAAATCTCAATTGTTCTCAGTCCAAATAACTATTCTGTGTAAGAAACCTAGAAAATTTTTGTTTTTGAAGGCATTTTTAAACAGATCAGCGTCAATATTTGTTTTTACTGTTCTAGAAATCGATTACTTGTAGAAGTGTAAAATTATCTGATTTACTCACTGCTTTCTAAATTCTTAATTGTGTCCCATCATTTGTAATTCTACTAACTATGCTTACTATTCACCTTGTTTGTCATATGAGCTATTAGTTAAAACAGATACATGATTTTGTCTCTAGATTATTTCTACTTCAATTTTATATATAATTTTCGGCTGGAATTTTACACTGTTTGTCCTAGTGCCAGCTCTAATAAACATCTCACTTGTCTGCTTTCCAACTGTAACTTATTGGCTTAAAATAAATACCTTTGGTTGTTAGGTCTATGGTGTATTAATTACTCACTCAATATAGTTGCAACAGTCTTAATGATTTAAGAAATGATAATCAAATATAAATTTAAAGTTTACATCACGTACTAATCTTAGTTAGTAAACCATATAGAACTACGAAACACTGGACAGATGTCCTAATATGAGACTCAGTGGTGCGTGTCCACGGACTTTCACGACATCGAGCCCAATACTTTCGGTCTCGCCGTTAACAGTTAACCACTAAACAGGCATCCAATTATGTACATATCAAATTTAAATAAAATCCCTGTTTTAAAGACTATTCCCTTCTACTCGCAGAATATATTAACTCAATCATGTTGAACTACGTAAAGTATAATAATGCAAAAGATCAAAGAGGCTTTTTTAAACAATTTTCCTGTCATTTTCATTTCTTATGTGTTAACGTTTACAGTTGAGCAAATGCTTCCTCTAAAACAATTCTTTTCATACACTTAAAGTGATTTTTATCTGGATTTAAAATTTATACAGTTTTGTTTGTTATGCGATTCACTAACTGTAGAATGTTTTATATGTAATGATTTAACAATCCGAATGCAGCAATCTCATGCTCTAATAATCCCTAGTATATTAATTACACATGTTTCACACCTAACATTCAATATTGTTGTTAAAGGCTCTGCTTAACTCACTTCTAGTAGCATCCCAAGCGTAGATAATGGACTCCTTAATCAATCGTATGCATTTTGCTTATAAATAATCAAGCTCTCTATGTTCACTTACCACATATTCCAGTCACTTTAACAAGTCTCTTGATATCCACAACCTAAGAGCATTATTATTCAACTTTAGACAATGATGTATTCTGCACAGCTTTAGTCTTTTCACTATGTACGGCTAGCTGATTAGGCGTTAGAAACCCATATAGTTACTCAATCGAATAGCAAAACATAACAATTAGTCTAACATAGATTTCTCACAAATTCGCGTACCTAAAATACAAATACTTTTCCAACTGTTGCGTCATCGAAATTCCCAGTGTACAATCTTTTAACAACCCTCAATAAAGAGCAGCTGATGAAACTTCCAGCTTTTAATTCTTTTTTACGAAAACTTTCACATCTCACTCGTATCTTCCCCATACTTAATTTGAATCTTCATATCAATAGAACATGTTTAATTGACCTGTTAATACAAGCTGTGATAATTTACTTGTACTTTGCAAATCATTTTCTTAATCTTAATACTTCTCCGCATTTCATGTGCCCATCATAACTTCTTGATACGTTTTCGTCTTTACTTCGACATTTTCTAATTTTCTGTGAAAATTCTTTTCATTCCTATGAATTTATACGGACAATTTTCAAATGTAATCTGAGTTCATCTCATTTTTCTTAAAAGACTTAAAGATAATGTGGTTACTTTTAAATGTGCACGTTCCTTTTTGTCGATTTGATTGATGTTTTCCGTTCTTTTGATTATTGTCTCATAATATGTGAAAATTATCATAAAAGGATATCTTGGATACGCTCAATTGTATCCCAGTGAAACATCTATCTGAATAATATAAAAGTATTGTGGTTCGCGAATGTAGAAGAATGTGTAATTATTACTGAGGAATACATTTGTTTCATAATTCTCCTTTCCGTTCTCCACGCCTTGCGTCTTTGTTTTTGCCTGTTTTCTATCTATTTATATTTTGATGTTAAATTTGTCTGTCAGCATAGATATTTCCAGCTTAGAAATTACTACTTTTAATGTGCCCGAGTTTTGCATTGTATCTATGAAAATACGCATGACCCATTACCGACTCAATAACGATTTATAACCCGACTATCGATATTCCACTAATATTTTTTATATGAGTAAATAAGTGTGTGGTTTTTTTCGTGTCTGTGTATTTTTTCATTGTTCTGATCAGCTTGCTAAAATGTACAAATCTATTATGTTTCGTATTGTAGTTTAATATTGTTGCTTTTCTGCCACGTCCAGTTAATTAATATTCTAATTTATCTGTAGTCGACCAAACACTTTCATTTCCACTTCATGATTGATACACCGGCCATTTGTTTTTTGGCTGTTTTCCTAATGTTACACTTTTTCAAAAGATTGCCTGGTAGTCTTATATACATGCTTAGCTTTGTTTCAGTTGATGCTTTTGAAGTTTAAGTTACTGACACACCTAGTGTGTCCTTGCTTATCAAACATTATTAATTCAATATCCCTATGGTTTAACTGTTTTAATTAGTCCCATTATTAATTGATTATAAATTTTATCCATAAAAAGTAACCCACGTACTGTAGTATCCTTTTTTAACAATTTTTGTTTATATCTATAAATTTATTTATCACTAATAGTGAGCCCCATATGTCTCTAGTTTTGGGACGTTTTCGTGCCATTGAGACAACCTAGTAAAAAACTCCGAGATAAGATATAAGGTATTTGGTGAGTACGGAGAATCTTTTGAATGTGTCTGTAAGTCCTCGCCAACTGAGTTCCTTAGGTATTAGTGGGATATAGATTAGATTGCGGCACTTTCCGTGCAGGACTGTTGTGGCACGCTGATTGGCTACTTCTTGACCAGTCAGCGCTAGTAGATACTCGGAGAAGATTTGGTGTGTTATGTAGAAATTATGAATATACTAACGTCTTTCTTGTTGTGATACCGACTTGCGTCCAACCATGTTCATTTGGAATATAATTACGTTACTGTTCAACTGTGTTCTAATATGGGTAGCTTGTCGAGTGAAATATTGTCAATGAATATTCAGTATTAGGAGTATCTGGTACGTAGTAAGAGAAATCCTAACCCTGGATCATCCGTTACGTTTACTAAATCACGTCTTCAACGTAAAACCTTGACTGGAGTGTTTCACATAAGGTAAGGGGCGCCATAGTATGACTGAACACAGTCCAAAACGTTTTTGGCTACAGGTATGAGCTGTGTGTTGCTAAGTCCAGACCAAATGGCTAGTATTTACCCGACAATCTTGGTGAGTGTTGGGAGGCAACTATAATTAATCCTTTGTCTTATGTATCAGAATTGTTCCATACTTTGCGATCCGTAAATTCATTCCTTCTTTTAAAATTATATTTTATTAATTTATTCCTTTGTATCTATAACGTTGCCAGTGTATGGACTCAATAACTGTTCATTTTTCCTTCCTTTCTCTCGCTGAAATAATGTCGTGTGGTTACTTAGGTTCATGCACAGGTTCTACACTTTTTAGTTTAGATGACTAACAGTTCACTTTTTTTGAAGTGAAGAACCTCACTAATATTAGGAGACTGTGTACACTGACCCAAGGTAGATACACGTAAAATCGTGGTTCGAGATTCCTAGTTAATCTCTCTATTCATTCTTTTCTCGTTAAACAGGCAAAAAGCAGGACATCATCCGGGCAACAGAACAACTATTAGCTGCTGCAGCAGCTGGTGACTTCGAACTCTACCTGTAAGTTTGGTGTTTTATAAGATTATCTGATTCACTGTATTCAGTCAATAAGCTTATCGAAAAGTTTCAGTTTCATTGAATTCATGAATGAAAATTAAACCACCATCGGAAACCTGGAAGCATTGAATGGTCGTTTCGTCTTAGTATGGGACACCCTATCAGTGGGCATCCACAATCCCTCACGCGGGACTTGGATCTAGAACTTTTGTTCTCGCGTGCGAACGCTCAACCTCAATACCACTGAGGCGGAATCCAATGGTGTTAATTCCTAACCCCAACCAATCCAATACTTGCGCGATCATCTTACATTGTTTTCAGTGTGTAACTGCTTCAAAGCCGACACGGACTAACTTCACTGGTGACAGATTCTCACTAGGACTCTGGAAATTCTCTCTCGAAGCTAGTCACTAGTGAGCACATGATAATTTTCAGAAATTTTGAATTCAAATAGCTCCACTTCACATAACTTAATGAAAATACTTGTAAATTAAAAGTCTCTTACTTCACTTCTTATTTTCGTATGAGATTCTCATCAACTGCGTCAGTGTTACAACCAGTGTAACACTAATTGTTGACATCTGTCATCTTAACTTCATACTGATTTTGATTGTGTAAAAAAACAAGATAAGTCATAAAATATCGATTCTAATTTTTGACTCCTGAATTATAAGGCTGTAACATATAGTCGGTCAAAACTTGTAAGAACCATTCAACTGAGACATTTATGCTACAATAATTAGTAACATATACTTATAGATAGTTGCTCTTACCCTTAGAGCATAGTAATATCAAAACAATTGGTGGATCAAATGAATGCTTAGAATTAGTATTGCATAAAATTACTAGAATGTAGTTGTTTAGTAAAAACCTTAAAAATATGTAGAATGACCTATTGTAATAAAACGGATTGTAAAACCAATTATTCGAGATCCTCATTTCTCTGGTTTTAATTTGTAGTTGAACAAATCCCATAATGGAATTACTTAGTCAAAAAAAATGTTTTACACAGCTGACGTTTTACTTTATATCACTAAATTTACTCCTAGGTAACTGGGCTTATATAACATTTTTTTCTTTTTTCTTTATTTCAAATAAAGCACTATAAGCATAAATGTTTGTGAATTACTTTTTTCTTGTCTTTTTGTTCCAGTAAATTTTTGGATTCTCAATTCACCTATTTCGGTCCAGAAGCATGTGGGAATTTACTCGAAGGGGCTGATTTCCATAAGTTTTACTTTGAACAAAGTAAGTTTCTTTCGTTAATGATACGATTTTTCTGTATTTTCTCATACTTGTATGCTTTAATGATGTAGGTTACTGTGTTTAGTTAACTAACCTTTGCTGAAGTCCCGTGGTTGCTTTCGTTTGTCATGTCATGAATAGTTCAGATCATTATCCTAATTTTTTTATCACTTAAACATACATAATTTGAGCAAACACGGATGGTTGGCTTGCAGTGAAATCCAGGACGCGCGTTTCGTCATATTTGTATTCCACTGCTAGGCGCCATCCATGTTTGCTCATAATGATTGTAACTTAAGGCAATATTGACGCAATCCACACAGGGTGCGCATAAGCCAATAATAGATTGATTAATTGTAGCTCTAAACATCAGTGGGAAGTTCCAAACAAACAATAAAAAATGAATACGTATTTTGTTTTACAGTTCCGTTTGTCAGTAACAAAAACGATTATTTTGGGGATCGAGCGTATATTTTTAAACATATGAGCTCTGTAGTTTTTCTTTATCGGAAATACCAATTTTTTCGTATAACGATTTTTAACAAGCGATTTATTTGCTGTGCTGTAATGGAGCAACGTTGTATGGAAAGTAGAAGTTTCACAACGTCAATTGACTCCTTTCCATAATAATACTCTAAAGTTAGACGTGTGTGAGAACCGACATTAAATGCCAGATACGTGCATCAAAATCCGAGGGTAACGAACGAATAGGCTAGCAAGATTCCTCGACTCAATTAATTATCTTTATTAGGATTAGGATAAAGAGACCCTTTTGATAACAGTTTTAATACATCATATTTAAATTTTATTCTTGAGAACAAATTCCAACACAAAATGTAATTAAATCAGACTAATCCTTAAACTTCGTTAGTGAAAAAGACTACGTAGTAATTTATCAACCTTATAATCCTATTATTACTAAGTGCTTATTTTACTGCTCAACTTTCTCTCTAGTCATTCCGAAATCAGTTGTTCGTGCTATTCATACCAGTATACTGAACCCGACTGTACATTTAATGGGTGAAGATGCAGCTTGTATTGCCTACACAAGACTTACTCAGTTCCTAGATAAGTGAGTTATCCTTGCATATTTTTCCTAGCTTAAAAACATCGTTAAGCGTTATAGTAGTAACTTTTTTCTGTAACCATATTTTACTACTTTCTATAAATAGATGTGGTATGCCTCATACACAACAAACAGAAGAAACTCGTGTTTGGGTAAGACGTAATGATCGTGGCTGGCAGAATGTCCATGTACATCGTTCTTGTTTATCAGCAGGCTCAGGTGGTGGTGGATTCGCGAATATTAGTACAACTGGATCAGCTAGTTTCAACTATCCACTTTAGAATCAAAATAATATTGCTCAGATCATGAGAGATATTGAAACAAGGAAGTATATGTATACATATACTATCAGAAATTTTATGCTTTAATATTGAATCAATTCCGTTTGTCTTTTTGCGTATTTTCTCTCTTTCTTAAAATTTCAACATGCAATTTATCCAATCAATAAAAACCAGGTTTATCTGATTAAAAATATAAACCTATTCATTTTGTCGTTTCTTTGCTCATGTTGATATGCACATTAGTTTTGCAATTCGATTTTATAATGCAAAATCTGGTTACTTAGTCGGTTAAATGTTCACTTATCTTAATGGTTAACTTGTATGTGCAATTAAATTCTTGCTTTATATCCTTGATTTAACTTATTTATTCACTGATATTCTCTGTTATTTTTAAGTGTGCGATTAAATAGCTGACATTCCACTTTACTCATTTGTTGTTAGTTTATACTCAAGTAATATGAGATTTCTTTCTGTTAATACTGACCCACCACTTACCCACAAGACAAAAATATTAAGTTGTTTCTATATAAAGAATTCTGATTGGTATACCACTTTGTGTTTATTGTTACAAATGTTAATGATTGTTGGAACTTGTGCACGAACGATTACTTGTATTATACATCACTGAACTTATGAATACTTGTCTTATCAGGCTATAACATCTACTTACCTGTCAAACAGGGAAAACACAATATCTATGCTACTTTTAGTGCGCATTTTGCAACTTATGATCTACGTTCATTCTCTTCTCACTTTTTGCCCCTCTTCGTATCTCAGTCCACTTGATATTTAGTTTTTTTGATTTCCTGAGTATTCTTCCTGGACTATCATGATTTTTTGTCCATGGCTTGTTTTAAAAAGAATAAAGTCCATGCAAAAAGACTTCAGTTTACATAGTCCACACTTTTACCATTATTCGTTATCGACTGTGATGCTTTTCTTGTATTCTGTATTTTTGTTTATCTTCGCGTTCAAATCTCCATGTTTATCTTCAATTAACTTATGAATAGTACGGGCTGATTATAATTTCGTAAATGTTATTCGTACATTTGATTCCTTCCACTTCAAATTGCTTATTTTTGATTTCTACATTGTCTGTTTTATGATGCTTTTCTTTCAATTATTGCTACATACTATGCTTTCCAAATAAGCATGCATGTCTTTCACTGCTTCGTACTTATTAAATTTAATAATATTTATCATTGTCGTTATTTCGTCGTGGTAAAATTTTAACTTTTTCCGTACGATTGTTTGTCAAGCCTAATTTATTTAATCATCGTTGTGGTTTGGACAAATAATTTATTTCGAATTATTATATCTTGTTCCTGTTATCTGTCTTTTAGATTCTTAAACTTTTGTATTTGTACCTGTCATAATGAATATCCTATAATCTTCCCTATAAAAGTAATTAACTACTTATATTTATTTCAGTGGAAATAATGATATTTAGGATTTCTATGTCTTACTTTCTTGGTTTATATAGGTTCGAATGTACATGAGTTACGTTCATGAACCTTTTTCCACCAAAATAAATTGAAGATATAAGTGTTCAGCGTTCAACAAGAGACAGTATTCGTGATATTATTTTAACTTTCCTAGTCAGTTTGTCAGCATCTCTCGTTTGAAGTAACAAACCTTCACATATTTATTTCTGTTCTTATATCTACATTCAGTTTTTACTGTATGCTTCCATTAAACTTTAAAAAATTCAATACATCTGTTTTTTGACCTTTATATTATTTTTCTTTATTCTAAGAATATATTATTTTATTCTAAAAACAGTTGCACATTTACTGTGTTACTACGAGGAAAACATCACTTTCCCTAATTATACGTATGTACTTGTGTTTATAATAAACTTATGTGTAACAAAGAATCGGCCAGTAAGCTAAATCCAATGCTTTATATTGTTCGACGACCACTACAGTGGTGTATTAATCATTGAATATAATCTTCTGTTTTATAGGCGCCTATTTGTAACCGAGTCTGTTTTCCCTTAATGTTCCTCTCTAATTAAATGTTGGTTTGCTTTCTAAGCCGATAAAAATAGTGATTTCAGTGTGAAGTCTTTTCTCGGTGATGCTATGTGTACCTGTTACATTTGTTTGTCTGCTTTTCTGATTATTTACTTGTTGTTCCGTTGTTGTTATTTTGTTTCCTACAAAAAAAGGTCAAAACAGGTTCACTAACGGATCTTTTATGTTTCTTGTATTTTCTGTTGTTAAGTATTATTTGATTAGGATGATTAACCATGACTGAAAATATTATATTTAAAAAACTTACCTGCAACAATTTATCTGTAACCTCGTATTTGTTTGGTTGTTTTCTCGTTATTTATTATTGTTTATTCCTCAACCTGTTTATTTCATTCATTTTGCTCACACACATCTACCCAGCTTACATGTCGACTAGCTGGTGAAAAAGCCAGAAATACAAGGTTACTCTTAATATGGAGTTTATTTTTAATGGGGAATTAATTGGAATACTTGGGTATAATTCATTTGATTATGGCCGTTACTGCTGCCTATTTTTGTTCAAACCATTCATTGTGAAGGCTCAAACTGAGTTTGTCTGTAAGTTAGCTTATACAGTATTATTAGACTAATCTCACTGAAAATTCAAGTTAAATATGTCTTCTTTAAACAAAACTGATGTTGGAATCAAGGTTTATTTTCTACCCACTAATTAGGGAATTTCCTTGATTTAGATATAAAATTAACCATGAAGTTTATTTTATCATATAATCGTTGATAAGTCGCGATATAACATGTGATTTATTCATCTATTTGATTATCCGTATTTTACAGCAGTCAATTAAGAGTACATAAAAGCTTAAATATGTTTTCAAATAGTAGTTATCACTCCGAAGAAAACTAAACCAAACTCGTGTCTAGTCTGTTAAGTTCCCTGTTCTAAGTAGTTCATTGTTTACAAAGTTGATAAAATTTACTTAGGTAACTGCTTTCGTATTGAAAGCACTGCAGTTTGATTGTCTTATAGGGTTATGGTGTCATAAGTTTGATTGCTTCATTCTGCTAAGGATCACATCTCGATGTAGCCACAGCATTGATAGTTTAGTTAGCGCATGATAGATGTTTGTATTGATCCAACTTCTTTAGATCCTCAAACAATATGTCAAGTAGTACCTTTATATAATGTTATCACTCAAAATACGAACTAGTAATACTGAAGGTTTCTAAACTAACATCCTTCGTAAGAGATAAACGAGACTATTTTCAAAGTGTTGAACTCTATTAGCATGGTATCAAAAGTGATCGCATCACTATTAAGCTTCATTCTCGTCAAATCCATCTTATTCTGATGCTATATTTAATATTAGCACTGCTCATGCACATTCGTTGCATTTCACTATTTATTCAAACTTCGAAATATTAATCAAATTATAAATAAGGGTCTTAAGGTATATTTTATCACAAATGTATAATATCGTTTATCCTGATTCTGACACATTGAGGAAAAATCAAGTTGTTTAGCAGCATTGATTACGAAATGTTTCGAATAAAACTGTTATGCTTCCAATCTACGCTCCGACCAATGCTAAACGATAGTGAAGACTACCGATTTTCTCATTATTTGTGTGCATACAACAAGTAGTCTAGAAATGAAAATATAATCTTTTTTCTGAAATAAATATGAATCCCACTGAATGATCGACTTTCTAAATGGATGTCTACATATAATTAACGTATGAAAAGAACAGCGTCTTTTGTGAAAAATTTGTTGTTTGGTGACCCATTACATAGAATGTTGAAATGAATTTTTACCCCTAATTACCTCACACTAAACACATTTTAGCATAAATTTATTTTTACTGTTCCGTGAATGTAAGTCTTTCATGCAATTCTGGAGCAGCTTGTATTTTATATTCACCCAAACAAAATCAAATGAAATTTTTGTAAAATTAATTTGTATTTAACAGATTTCATCTAAAATTCCAGAAAATAGGTCAAATTTGTGTATATCTTGTCAGGTGGAAGATTTATTATATTGCACTATACATGGTGGCAAGAATATCCGACGAAATAAATATATAAAAAATCATAAACAGACTTGTACCACCAATAAAAAAACCTATTGACCATCTGGCGCGCGACATTTGATCCCGATTAAACTAGTTTCATATGAAGAAAAAACGTTTGCTTATATTAGACGATACGATTGGCGGCCTGTATTTATTTCACTAACATTATCAGTTTCAGTTTATTTGTTGTAAAACTAGCACGGGATATAAATTTGTAGTAATCACTGTTTGTATTCCGTTGAATTAAGTTTTTTGAGAATGAAAAAAAATGCATAACAAGCAAAGATGGAAAGTGACTATTAGTGGAATCCAGGCCGCGCGTTCCGTCCTATTTGAGACTCGTTGGCTGGGTGTACCTGCATCTCAGAATTGATGTTCACTCTGGGACCCGGACGCAGTACCTTTCACTTCAAACGCCACTGCATTATCCACTTGCTTGTACGATGGGAAGGTTCAAGTAAACAATACCAATTGAATTTAAATTTCACCCCATTGCACAAACGAGTGGCTGTCAGGACTCAGTGGCTAAGCGGATAACGCGATGGTGTTTGAAGCGAACGCTACTGGATTCGAGTCCCAAAGTGAACATCAACTCTGAAATGCAGGTACATCCAGCTGATGAGTCCCAAATAGGACGGAACGTGCGTCCTGTATTCCACTATCCATCTTTGCTTATAATGCTTGCGAATTAAGGCAGTGTCAAGGCAATACGCACATATGCCAATAAGAGACTGATCAATTGCAGTTCTAAACATCAATGGGAAGATTCAAGCAAACAATGCCAATTGGATTTAGGTCATAAAATTGATCTTAACTCGGCTTTTGTGGTGTTGTACAAAAGTGTAAAAGGGCGTATACTAAGGTTTATTGTAGCCTTAGCCATACAAAAATTCAAACCCCCTTTGTGTATTCAAAAACAGTCTGTTCTCACCTTAAACCTACCCTAGTAATATTAGCTTATTATCTAGAGTGATGAGATTTCAAATTGTCCTCACATTATTTTCTTTGTTATCCATGTCTCCTCTTACCCTCCATTTCTAGTCTAGTTGACCTTTTATTTTTATATATAAATGTTCTTAACAAATATATGTGTGATCAGATTGTTCGAAATAATTTTCGTCTTCTTATTACACAATCTGAATCTTCTATCTAGATTTAGTATTCAAATAACAATTGTACTATATTGGTAGCTATATATGCACTATATATTTGTGAAGCTTTTCAGAACAAGAAAGTGATTTATTTCAAGGAATTTTTATATATCAGGTTCACAATAAAGACCGACCATCAGAAGCACTAAATGGGAGTTCCCGATAAAATACAGTGACAGTAAAATTAGATCATACCATTCGTTCTTTTTACCATGACAAAATATTTCAGATTTTAGAGTTTAACATTTACGTATTATTATGGACTCTAGTCTCCCGATCTGTTTACTAGTGATTATTTCAGTTTGAGCAACTATAAGCAACATACATACTTTTACATGCTTGTCAAATGAGTTTCATTATTAATTTAATTACTAAATTAATACAAGATGTTTCTTGTTGGTTCACTATGTGAGAAATTAGTATCTTACATATATCATCGACAATCAGAGTATTTTATGAATAAACACGTTTTATCATTTATACATCGTCCTTACCCGAATTCTCTATCATTCACGAAAATGAAACATTACAACATGACACTAATTTTTAAAAAAAAAAACAATTCTACGTGTAATTCACCTTAGGAAACAAACGGTTACCTGGGCTTGATTTTTGACAATGTTTACCTTAATAAATCAATATAAATGAATGCATATTATTCATAGGTATTTTTGGTCTTGAACGATAGCTACGAGTAAATGTGATGGTAACATCATTTCTTCACAGTATTATAGTTACCAATCCAAAATAATTATCACAAGGCTCTATGAACATTCACATCATGAGATAAAATGTTATGATTCGCGCAAGCACAGACACAAAGTAAGGTTTCCAAAACCTTATACTGGAAAACATCTGAATAATTGCTCACTAAACAATGGGAGATAGTGTATTTCTCTTTGTATTTGTGTTACAAACTCAAGTGGAAGGTAATATGAATCCATAAAAATTTACTCTATTGTTATAACGACCGGTTTTCCTTGTCTGCACGAATGGGGAGTTAATTTACTTCACACGAATATCTACACTAGATTCCCTCCCAGTGTCTATTCTACAGGGCTTCAACATAGATCAAGTACACATGATTAGCCTGATTAAAAAATAAGTATGTATATCTCCAATCCTGATGGGAGATCCAAACACCGGGCATGAAGATAGCCCGGACTGGGATAAAGGAACGAAAATGGTGAGAGATCTGCAAATTTATGTAGGAATACTGCTGAAAACGTATCAGGAGAAATGCTAAAACTGGTTGACGAATTACTGTCTGAATTTTCCTTCAATGAAACTAACTGTAAAGGAATATGCTATCTAACAGAACGACTAGACGTTGATTTTCTTGGTCTAGATATGCTGGAAATACTCGGAATAATAGATATACCCATTAACATTGCACACCCCAGTACTTGCGAAAAAGATAGGTGAAAGGCTGCTAAGAAACATGAGAAAATTTGCTTCTGTTTTTCAGAATAGCCTTGATCACTGCGCCAAGATGAAAACTCATTTACCAGTGAAACCAGAAGGGAAACCGTTTTTCGTCCGAGACGTCCTGTACCATATGCTGCTCTTCAACTAGTCGGTCAGTATCCGTTACCAGTTCCTGAAGACCTATTTGTTAAGCTTAATGATAAAACACGTTTCGTTAAAATGAACTTTTCCTAACTGCAAGTGTAAGTAGATGACGATTGTAGAGAGCTTCTGACTATCAACACTCATCGAGGGTTATTTCAATATACCCGCCTACCGTTTGACATCAAGATCGCACCTGCCATCTTTTAGCAAATAATCGATGCATGTTAACATGTATACCTGAAACAGCAGCGTATATAGATATCACAGTTATGCTTTCAACTGAACTGAGGGTTAACTGTGGTATTTGTATGAACTAATGATTCCTTGGTACTTGATTGCCATCTGATTATGAATTCGTTCATGAATACGTTCATTTATATTCATCCAATTCTACCTGCCTTAAATTGGACTATTTCGGGAACTCCTAGTTAGTATATTAATTCGAATACTTCTTATTATCATATGAACTTTCTGATCGACTACATCAATTTCCTAACCGAGTGATGAAGTATAGTTTTCAACTACTTGAATAAGAATGTATCTTCATGTATTCGATCTAATAACTTGGTTTCATCTTCGATAAGAACAGTCGCCAGCCATCAAATATTAGTCTTTTAATGTAATTACAAATCGGAAATTACATAATATGTTGAATAATACGAATTGGTTAGGAATCAGTAA